TACTGGAGATTTTTATGACATATCTTTTGTTTCACATCCTGGCTGTTTGGATAGACTTTATGCATGCATATATTTACCAAATACCTAATCCTCTCAGTTTTACTAAATGTCTTTCCATCTGTATTCTTGGGGATTTTTTTGGGGTTTGAGGGGTTTGTTGTTTTTTTTTAATGCTGTTTCCAAAGTAGCAACTTCTGGCAGTCATGTATTGAGTTCAGGGCATTTTTATGTTACAGCTTATGTTGATAGCATGACATTTAATACCCTGAAATTGAATTGTAAATACATTATTTTAAACTCTGACATTTAAAACCCCTGTTATGGAAAAGCGAATGTTTGTCTCTGCTGCTTTTCAGATGAAATTCTGTTACAACGGCTTTGTCTTTGTAGATTTTCATCAGAAAAATCAGATTCACTGCATGATTTCTGTTGCATTTTTACGGTTATGCTATTATTTAGGGGCGTTGCATTGTCTTAAATGCTGTTTTTAATGATGTTTTTAACAGTACATCATTTGCATGTTCTGTTGGGGTGATGTCCTGCCTAGCAAGCATGGGACTGAGTGTGGAGGCCAGACTCGGATGCTTCGCATCTCCCTAGACTTGCCATTCATTAATTGGGCTGAAGTCAGTCCTGAGAGAGACCAGTAGCATAGCCTGCACCGACATCAATGGCAGCAGCATTGGGTTTTCCCCATGTGACATTGGACAAGTCACTTATCTCCTTTTATCTCAATTTAACCATCTTTTAAATGGATGGACCAATGTTTACCTACCTCACAGGAGGGCTGTGAGGGCAAATTCATTGGTTTTGAGGCTCTTCGAGATTCTGTGATGAAAGGTTACATATAAATGCTTACTGTAGTTTTGTGTTAATATTTCCATTTTATTCATGTTGGCATTCATCCTGAAACCTCCTACTACTGACTTTAACATGCCAAGAACTTGGGATGCTTTCCCCCACATACCAAGCAGCATGATCTTTCCTCAAATACTCTGGCTTACAAATTAGGCGAAATCTCAAATAAGAGCTGTCTGGATCAACTCTCAGCTTACAGTTATCTTCTGACATGCAGGAAACACAATCAAAATTAGTGAAAAGCTCTCTTGTTTATGGACTTGACAGGATAAAATATTCATAGATCAGAAAAAGATGAAGTGCTTTTGATTTAAAATTGTTATGGGCAGGAAAATAAAAATGAAGTTTTGTGCATTTAATCTGTAGGCCTTTTACTGTACAGGAATACACATATTTAATATGGGCCATTCTCATCCCAGTGAGGTGCAGCATGCATAAAGCTTTGTGCAGGTTTGCTTTTTTAAAGCCAAAGTTTGTACATTTCACATACATAGTCTAAAATCCTGAGGAAAACAGATAGATTATGGGTTTTGATGACAGTGATATTAAAGACATCACAAAACCCGCATCAGTGCTTAATTGCTAACGCACTTATACTAAGTAAGGCATGCTGTTTGTGTTTAGAGCCCTGTGGTCTTCATGATTGCTTTGATTTGTGTATCTCTCTTGTAAGAATTCCAGGAACATTAGGTACAGGTACATGGTACATAACTGAACCTTTCTTGATCATTTTATCATGGATGTATTTTAAACTTGTATAGGGATAAGCATGAAGGAGTCATGCGTATGTATAAATAATGTATTTGACCAGTGTAAAAATAGTTCTGTTGATGTATTTGAAATGTAAGTACATTTTGTGCCACTAACACTGTGATGTATAAAAGAGCTGTTGAATGCCTTTTAATGTTGTGTTTTGTACTTTGAACCATATTGAAGAGTTTAATTTGTAATTTCAATAGATATTTTAAATGAATGTGTCTCCCATGATTCTTCATAGTGACTTTTCAGTGCTATACATTCACTAAAGAAAAGTGCTTTTGTTACAGTAGGACTCCCTGTGTTTATCTGCCTCGCCGTCCTTCAGAGCAAGCACAACCTGTGGGCTGGAGACGGGCTGCGTCACTTCTGGGCACAACTGCGGTTTCTGACTCGTCGTCTTGCAGCTTAGCCGAAAGAGTGAATCTGGTTATCTCTAGAGCTAATTTGAGCCAGAGCTGGGTCTTTGGTCCAGCTCCTGTTGCAGCCGTTGGTGTATGCTCTAGCTGAGTGATCACTGAGATGCGTGTGTATTCTTGCACCACAGGTTTAGGTCTGGTGGATGTGGCTGTAACAGATCTCTCCACGGTGAGTAGCTTGTGTTCCCCTTGGTTTGCTGTTGTGGAGGTGAAACTTTTAAAAGCAAAGCCCAGCCTCCTGTACAACAGAGCATAGTTAACACTCTTGGACAGTGGGAATTGGCTCTCATGTTCCTGACTCCATCAACAGGCACTTTGCGTTTTGCCTCAACTGCCGTTGAGGGTGCAGTCTTTCCTTCAGTCCCCGTAGTTTCTTTCTCACTTTTTAGGGTATAATTTCTCTATATCCATAAAAAAATGCCAGGCACAATTTCTTCAAAAAAATGGTGTACATAACTAATAGGGATGTATGTGCTTTATACATGACAATTTAAGAAAAACCAAGGCCACAGAATAGCTGCTACTCAGTCATTCCTTTCTTTCATTTTCATGGAGCATAATGATTTTTCTCCATAGGGGAAAGATCACTTTAGA